TGTTCTGAAGAGATTGCACTGAACTGAGACTTTTGTTACTCTGTGTGGGATAAATAAACCAGCAAGTGTTAATAAAAATGGTAATATTGTACTTGCCTGTAGACAGTCTAATGAAAATCTGAAAACGATTCATAATGAAAGTTTTTAATACTTGGTAATATTTTTAGGTTTTCAGGAACACTTTATTTCTATATGGATGTGACGGTTCTCTTGCAGAATTGGGAGAAAATGCAGTCTTTTGTAATATTAAGGCTTTGTTAATATCTAATGAATTTTAATTGTTTATTTCTAATCCTATAAGATGAAGAATCTTCAAGCATGTTGTTTAAAGTAATTTAAAAAATTTTTTTACTTGGTAGTAGATCATTAATCAGTGTTTAACCACATGAAATTAAGTTGGAGCCAAAATGTATATAATGAGCAAATGTGATAGTGCTAAATCTAAACGTAAATTTCTGGATCTAAGTTGATGTACACAGAAAAAAATGACTCATTTATATTCCTATGAGTCATGCATTTATAACTGAATAGTAATAATTCTGCTTGAAGTTTGAAGTATGATCTGTTTGATGTGTTATGTGGCCACCCAAGTGGCTTTATCTTTAATTAAATTCCTTTAGTCTTCAAAGAGAATTCCTTTTTAGGCATAGTTTTCAAAGTGGAAGGAGTTCTAGCTATAAACATTATTGAAATAGAAAGTACTGAGCTAACTGTACCTTGGTCATGCCAATTACTACAGTGTTTTCTGCTGTAAATTGAGAATGCCCATTTGTGGCATAAAGCGATCTTGAAAACACAACAGTGTATTTAGTATCTTCCAGTAATTCCTATATTTTTGAGGAATAAAATTATACCAGTAAACTTTCTCATTACTTTTATTGACTTAATTGGTTTAATTGACTTAATTTAACTTTATGAGTTACAAATTAGAAACTTTTAGTCCCCTTATATTTCAGTAATGTTTGGAAGAGCTGCTCAAATTTTGCTAAAAGAATTTTTTCCTGCTCCTTCTCTTTTATTATAATGGATCAGCTATCTGAAACACATTAAAGTTGTAAGTGCAGAAATAATTTAATATTTGTCTCTGCTTCAGGGTTCTCCCCTCTCTCAAAATGCTGTTGGTAGTCTTTTCACTTTAACTTAAGGATGAATCTGCCTTCTTTATGATACTTTTATTCCTAGTTTATGTTACTGCATTGAAGAGAATTGGGATTATCCAGATTTCAATTGAAAGAGTAAATTTAATGTTCAGAGGGTAGATATTGATTTGATATTCCCCATGGACTATATGGAATATACATGTGTGTGCTAGAATGTAAGTCATAGTCAAATCTGAAGTAGTATTTTAGGGGATGGAAAATCAGATTTGGTTTTTAATTTTTAATGTTCATTCTCAGGAGGAAGAATGGTTCTTATTTATAATTGTCTAGATTCTTAGTTTCATCTCTGAGGATAGACTAGATTAGCTAACTTTTGATTTTCTTTAGACCGTATGCCAAAAATTATTTGGTATATGTGACCTGAATAGTAATTGTAAAGACTGGTTACTAGTGTTGGGATCAATCCAATAATTATTGTTATAATTATCTCACTGTACATGCAGCTTTTGAGGGATGACATGATGGTATTTACTATATCTCATGATGTCCAAGGGACCAGATTGCATTTAATTAATGCTAAATTCATAAATACATATGATTTATAAACCTTAAAGATTAAGTCACTAATGGAAGCATTTTGGAGACAACAGGGCAAGACTCCTTATTTTTAGTAAGGTAATATCAGAACAACTAATTTCTTCCTTAATTCACAATGAATGTTCTTTGGATTAAATTGTAGACCCCAAATTAGAATTTGTAGTATAGACTTGACTTTACAATTCCCCCATTTTTCTGAATTTGATTTTTATTTATAATAATGAAATTTAATATAGCCAAAAAGAAAAAAACTGTTTTGATTCTTTGTAGTTTTTAAATGCTTGTAATTTAAATGAATAAACTTTGGCTTGTGTTACTGAAATTTTCTCTCTGGTTGGTAGTGTTTTAAGATACTTCTAAGAAAATGTATATATATTGAAATCTGGAATTTTGCTATAGGGTTGTTTACTTGGTGGATTATCTGTAATAGTTTTACAATGGAGTGGTTTTGGGTTTTGGTTGTTGTTTTATTTTCGGGTTTTTTTTTTTTTTGGCCAGCCCTAAAATTTCTGGGCTGTGGATGTGCTAAGGAATTATTATTATTAATTTATTTTTACTTAAATTGGAATGCAGGTTGAAAACTCTGTTGTACAACATGAAAGTGAAGTTCGTGCCCAGGAAATATAATTGATTTTTGGATTATCTAGAACTATTGCCTCTTAACAGATAATCAGAATAATCTGTCTGGTTGCTTTCTTTGAAAGGGTGATATGATTTCTTGCAGTTTTGCTTCTTAAATCCTGTTAGCTTACTATTTTAGTTTCTGTATGTTGTGGTTAAGGAAGTTTAGTTGTTTTTTTCTCAGTTTTATTCTTTCCAGTTTCTTTAAAGTCCTATATCATGGACTGACTAAATTCTTTTTAGAGAAAGGACCTATTTTCCTTGAGCATCTTGGGAAAGATGATAGTGGTGCCGAGAGTAAATAGAATACAGTGTTTTAGCAGCTAGAAAGAAATTTCTTAGATTTAGGTAAGATCCAAATACTTTTTTTCGACCCAATATGTGCATAATTAGAAACCGAATAATTAGAAACCAGAATAATTGGAAACTGAATATTCATAAGAAGAACAAGATGCTTAGAAAACTGTTTGAGGATTTGCTTTTTTCACATTCTTTTTGTATAACCTAAGCATAGGTGTCTAAAAATACTAAACAGTATTTGGCTAAGAACTTTGGGACTGAAATGTTTTGGTTAATGGTTGATTCCTGTTTACTTTAGGGGTACAGTATACTTTATACTGTCCAGCACAGTAATCCTTAACCACATATGACTATTGAGCACTTGAAATGCAACTAGTCCAAATTGACTTGTGCTAAATGTAGAATAAACACTGTATTTTTTTTTTTTTTTTTTTTTTTTTTTTTTTTTTTTTT